ATAATTCTATCAGGCAATCTCCATCAATATTTTTATCACCAAGATTATATTTTCCAATTACTGAACCTTCCTCTTTGCTTTCAACTTTTGCATTTCAATCACTAATAATTTTCAATGCATCTTGATTGTACTTTTGATCAATTTCAGATTGAGGAAGTTGGTAGAATTCTTCAATTTCATCATTAATGGCTTTAGTGGTTGGTGTGTAAATTTAAATAATAATGGTATTAACTCTTCTTCCTTGTAGGCATATGGATGTTATCCTATCACAGACAGCATTGTACTTCAAGAGAGATCTTGAAATGTTCTTTTAAATGATGAAAGTGACACCATTCCTCCTCAATTTGTCATTCCTGGCACAGTAAACTATTTAATTTTCAGATTCCAAATTGCTAATACTAGTCCATTAAAGATGACTTCAGGTGATGATATAGTTTTTAACTTGATTAGCATAATAGTTATACAAATATACATATATGGTAATAAAATTTTGCAAATATGCAATTCCTTATCACAAATTTTAAACTTAAATGAATTAAATGTTAGAGAGTGGTAGAAGGAATACTAATAATAATAACATGACTCAAATCTATGCTGTATTTAGGAGTCTCATCTAGTCTCAAGAACAAAATATCTAGAAAGGGAAAAGCTGAGGGAAAAATAACTGGGAAAAAAACTGTATGGAATTCTTGATATCAAACAAAATAGACTTTAAATAAAAATCTTATTGTAAGCTTAAGTAAACAAAAATTTGTCTAATTTTTACACTCTACAATGAACAACTTAAAAAGGAAACTAGGGAAATCATTCAATTTGCCATAGGATTTCAAATAACAAAATACCTAGGAATAAAATTAAGCAAGGAACTGAATTTTTTTACACTGAACACTATAACACAGTACTGGAAAAAAAAAATATTGACTATCTAAATGAATGGAAGAACATTTGGTGCTTATGCATCAGAAGACACTGATTTTTCAATTATTGTTGTTGCTAAGTACCGTGGAGTTGGTTCCGACTCATAGTGACCCTGCACAGGGTTTCTGAGGCTGTAAATCTTTATGGGAGCATAGCATCTCATCTTTCTCCCATGGAACCACCGGTAGTTTTAAACTGCCAAATTGAGGTTAGCAGCCTGATTCATAACCACTATGTTACCAAAGCTCCTTAGTACTGGTAAAATAACTGACCTGAAGGAAATAAGACTTAAACCCCCTACTGATGAAGATCAAAGACTTGAGCTTCAGCATGAATTGTACCACAATTTAAATAAAATGACAATCCCCATAAATGGACCAGTAAAAAAAATCATGAAAACTGGAGAAATTTTTAAATTTGACAAATATTTCAATTTGCTTGGATTAAAACTCGGTGCTCATGGAAGCAGCAGTCAACAAATCAGACATATTGCATTATGCAAACCTGCTGCACAAGACCTCTTTAAAGTGGTCAAGAGCAAAGATGTCAGTTTGAGGACTAAAGTACACCTAATGCAAGACATGGTATTTTCAGTCATCTCATATGCATGTGAAAGTTGGTCAATGCGTAAGATAGATTGTAGAAAAATTGATAAATTTGAATTGTGGTATTAGAGAAGAACACTTAAAGTGCCATAGATAGCTAGAAGAACAAACAAATCTGTCTTAGAAGAAGTACAGTCAAGATGCTTCTTAGAAGCAAGGAGGGAAAGACTGTGTCTCTTATTTTGGACATATCATTAGAAGAGAGCAGTTTCTGGAAAAGGATGTTGTGTTTGGACACAGTAGCAGCAGCAATGGACTCATACATGACAATTGTGAGGCTGGTGCAGGATTGGGCAATATTATATTCTATTGTGCATAGTGTTGCTATGAGTCAAAACCAACTGGAAGGCACCTAACAACAACAATAAATTCACCAGAAATAATTGAGAGTAAAGTAATGAACCCATACATTTTATGGCTACTGAATTCTGACAAGGTTTCTGCTGTTGTTATTAAATGCTGATGCATCATTTCAGATCCTTAGAGAACCTCTATAGGCTTTCCAAAGCTGCAAATCTTTGTGGGAACAGAAAGTGTCATCTTTCTCCCACAGAGAATGCTCCTAAGTCCTTACACTGGGAAAAGAAGTGTTTCCTTAATAAATTGCTTTGGTG